TGGTTTGTAGGGATTTGATTGGTTACAGGATTTCCATTATGAGCTGACATTGGTTAGAGAACCATTGGAAAACCTGCAGAGAGTAATGGACAGCTATTTCGTCAGTCTAGTTTGGGACTCTTCAATAGTACCCACCCACTTCCAGGGTTCGAAACCCAGGAGTTACTGGTTGCAAGGCGAGCTCGTAGACCATTAAGCCACTGGGACCCGATCCGATGGCCAGCCCATGAATTCTAACTTCTGCCAATTCACGATATAGCGCAACCGCTAGCCAATGTCTTCGGTGGCGAGTATTTGTCCTCACACTCGACCTGCTGCACCCTACTGGTCACGACTTCTCACTAGAACCCCAGGCAACTGCCTACCTGAATAGGGCAAGTCACTAGTGAGTATCTCATTGATATTCAAGTGTTGGTTTGTAGGATTTGATTGGTTATTTCACTTGTTCCACTTGTCATTCTAAATCAATTCTTTTTTACAACTATGAATTCTATGCCATTAAATTTCACACAATATTACGTAACGTTTTTGTTTTATTCGATTTGTCTACTAATCCAATAATTGCACATCCTTTTTCAAGTTCTATCCCTCCTATGAATTATTCTATATATGACATTAATTTGCTTTGCCACTTGACATTTAACTACGATTACAATCACAAACAGTTTTATTTTAATTGCATTTCATACTACTATCATAATTATTATTTTATGCATTCACACCTTGGATTCAATTCCCTCACCGGATATAACTTTGTAAAATACGAGATAGAACAACTGAGTTAATTTATACATATTATAATGGGGAGATCATGAATGATAGGAATGATTAATGAACTAAAATATAGTAGCAGATTTGGAACCTTAATAGGGATGAATTCAACTCAGTGAGTGAAAATCAAAATTAAGATTGACTGAAGTGGAATGTTATGCATGCAACAGAGTAAAACAAAACATAAAATCACACAAGCAAAACAATTATGGTTACCCAGGTAGCAGTGAGCGATTAGTGACACTTTATCTTTCTGCATGCTTAGGTTGAGTCAAAGTCTTTTGATAACAATGTCTTCTGTGAATTGAAAGAACCATGCTTTTCTTTGTGTATTGATTATCTTGAGAGCCTGACTAATTTCGACTGTATATCCTGTGTCAGTCATTTAAGAGTCTGGCGATTGTAGTTAAGATCACTTTGATGCCTTTCAAACGGTGAGTTTTGGGGATATTCTCAGAGAGTCTAGTAGACGCTCTCCTCTCCGTCCTTCATATGTAGTTGATGCCACAAGTGCAGGTCAATTGGTAAAAATGCGGTTTGAGTTGATATGCGGAGCATACTGTGTTGTAAAGTGGAGTGAGTCTAGAGGCGGGAAATGTTCTTTTTAATGTACCTTTCTTCTTCAGCTTTGATCGTTAGACAGATGAAAACTGGTTTCTTTTCAACTATATCGGGTTTCAGGTTAGGCGGCTTTTCCTTCTCATAAAATTTTAATATGAACTTTCGAAGGTATCCATTTTTTGATAAGGTTCTTTTCAATGACTGTGGGTTCATCTTTAATCTTACCTTCTGAACACAACGCTCTAGCTCTGCTGAAGAACTCTATTTGTAGCGAATCGGGCAGAAACTGTGATAATTCAAGTATTGACCAGTACAAGTTTCTTTCTTGTGAATGAATTTTTCAATTGTCCTATCATTTCTTCTTTTTATGTTGAAATCTAGAAAGTAGTGGAACTGATTGTCACGTTCATGGTCTATTGTAAATGCTCTGTGATAGTGAATCGCAATGATGTTTTAGAACATCGTGGATCAGTGATCCATATTGTTGCAAACCACTGGTTAATTCAGGATATTCAGCGCCATTCGAAAAATCCTTCAAAATCATATACAAAATTCGATCAAACCTATTAAACAGAGTAAAATTACGACATCTGGGCATAGCCGGGGAACTAGCCTTCCAAAAGCTTAAACATAAGCTATGTATCTAAAAGAAATACGTCCAATCCCTGTCCATGCCATGGTCATCATAAACAGGTAAAATTTTTTCAGTAATGACCATCCCATCGCCTTTCTTATCCAAACGTCCTCTTTATTCATGTCATTTTTAAGTTTTTCTAAATCCCTCCACTATTTACACTACCATATTTTCATACCCGAACTTAGTGTTTATTTTGTCATTTTACTATTTCTACATATTTAATCCCTGATTGCATAAACAATTATTCATCACATTAGTTTTTATCCACATATGCTGTCTATTTCGTTATTTCTACATTTCTAACCCCTAATTGCACAATGTCAATCATCTTAGTTATTATGATGCTACTTTGTTTGTTTTATCCATCCCCCTGTTCATTATGGCATTCTAATTCCTAATTTTTATTTTTATTAATTTGCCCCTTAACCGGAAATTATTCTGGAACTTCCTCCATCCATTTGATATATACAGCTACCTAGATGATGACTTCGTTGAAAAGAAAATTTTCTTCGCCGACATTGTCTCCTTAATAACTCCTATGACCTAATGTGTACAAACCACAAATGTGTCATCAAAATATTTGCAGTAATAGATAGTTCTTTTTGTTTCCGGCTTCATTCGTGTCTGCTCAAGATTAACCGTGAATATGTCCGCTAGAACAGGATCCAAAGGTGAATCCATTGCAGTATATGATAGTGTGAGGCGAAACACTAATGAATACGCGCCAGGGTCATGTAAACTGCTTCGAAAGTAAGAAGGATCACACACGATCTCCATGAGACGGGATCACGTATATACGATCAGAAATGCAAAAAAAAGAGAAACGGGTGTACGTTAGCGAACTCCGGAGCTGGATACACCAAGACAACCAAACAAAGTCGCCAGCACTAAGAAGACCTAACCAACTTCAGTCGAAAGCATTTCACATGGGGACGAGTATGGCGGTGTGGTACAGACAATGTTTTCCAATGGATCACTTGAACATATATACCTTGGCTTCCATGTCATGCCTTCTATTGTTACACCATATCCACCCTGTCAATTTATCACTGAATAATTGTCTACTAAAGTCATCTTTGAAGTTATGTTGCTTATAATTCTCAGCGATAATTCCCAATGATTGTATAAAGCAGATAGCATTTTGTAATATATAATTGATTTTGCTATTTGGGATGTACGCAGTTGAAGAGGATCAGTCGACGAAATAAAACGAGCTTGTATTAATCTATCCTATAGATATGTTCGTTCTTTCTTTATTCAAACTATATTTAACATGAGATATGTACGAATTAAAGGTAGTAAAAACAATATAGCAGGGTTGAAGGTGAGGTGATTTCCCACAAACTGGAAGATATGCAAGTGAAAAGCAACAAGTTGGCAGAAAAAGCATCAAAAATAGGACAGAAATAGGTGAACATAGAAAAAACAGAGGTGATGAAGATTCTTGGCCAACACCAACAGCAACAACAACAACAGACAACAATCAGCCAGCATAAATGGGAGGAACCTGAAAGAAACAACCTCCTTTACCACCTACCTACCTACCTGGGAAGCATCGTTTCAACTACAGGCCGACGGAACTGACGAGGATTTCAAAGCCAGAATCGGAAAAGCAAGACAAGCTTTCATTACTCTCAAGTCTGTGTGGAGGTCAACAGCACTCAGCTTGAAAATGAAAATAAGATCCGGATTTTCAACTCCAGTGTGAAGTCAGTGCTACTTTCCATATGGATCTGAGACTTAGCGCGTCATAAAGAGCATCTCAAACAAACTACAGACCTTCATTAACAGTTGTCTTCTCTCAATACCCAAGATCAGATGGCCAGCCAGAAAAGATCAGCAACAAAGATCTCAGGGAGCGAACCAACCAGGAACCGAATATGCAACAAATAAGCCGGAAGAAATGGAGATGGATTGGCTGGTCATACTTTGAGGAAACAAACCATCAAGTGACATCACTAGACAAGCCGTCACTCGAGTGGAACCCGAAAAGGAAGCGGCGATTTGGTCGTCAGTGCAATGGTGACTTGGAGGAGGTCATGTGAAGGAAGAGGAGATGAAAGCATGTGGGCAGACATGGAGCCAGGGGAAATCTTTAGCAGAGAACCAAACGCAATAAAGATGTACAGCCGAAGCTCTATGTCCCTCTAGGAATTAAAGGATATAATAATAATAAATAATAATAAATCAATAGCCAAACTAGGAAAAGTGTCTGAATGAATTTCTTTTGAATTCGTATCTGAAGCTTCTTCGGGTGGATTCTGAAAGCTTCAAATTTGTCTTTAGCAGAAGAACTAGTGAGGCGAAATTGAGATTGGTTGGATGATAACTTTGAAGGTTTTGTCAACATCGTGCTTGTTTTTAGTATCTGCGTCGGTGGCACAGTGGTTAGGACTCTCGCCGACCATGCACATGGTCCGAAGTTCGATCCCCTACCGATGCACACCTGATATCATCTATGGTCGGCCTGCAAAATATGGGCTACCGATATCACATTCTGAAAATTCCATACCTGTACCAAAATGTACGGTGTGGAATCAAGCTGTAATCAAAAATAAAATAAATTAAAAAATAAAATATTTAAGATAAAGCACTACCGATCTGTGGGTCGGTGGCGTCGAGGTTTGGACTGCCGCACAGTGTCATCTTTGAACGTCAAACTCATAAATAGTGTCTTCTTCGCCACTGTGATTTGACTGAGGACGGTTTCGTTCTTGATATTTCTGTCAAATTATTCAAAAGAATATTCTTCCTTCTGACTGACTTTTAAAACAAACAAATGTTCAGGTAGACATAATTAGTCGATAAAGGTTAAGAAAAATATATGAACCGATTAAGTAATAGCTACATTGCAAGGGAAGTACATAAACGAAGTTTTAATGAAGATAAGTGGTAAGATTAAGGGATTGGTACAGTGGAGAAGTCATCAGATGGTTAGGTCTTAATAAGCTACCAAGGTAGGGCTAATATCTGTACGAACTTCTATTGTATGCGTAGAGTTTAGAGTCAATAGACTCAAATTCTCCAGTGACAATATTGACTGTCTCACCGTTAAGTGTCGACCTAAACATTTGTCAAAATACAACTACATTTACATCTCGAACATGTATATTGCTCCTGGATGCAACTCCACAGAATTATCTTTATTTGCGGATGAATTTACTTCCCTTGCTGCCACCTCCTTCGGAAATTCCTTGTCTATAGTTACTGGTGATTTTAATTCTAGTGACCACAGCTTCCTAATTTCACTTGGACACGATAATATTGTCAACTTCCCGACTAGAATGGACAACACTCTTGATCTTGTGTTTACAAACGATGCAGGAATATTTGAAGCTCGAAAAAGAGCCCCACTACTAAATTCAGATCACTGTATCATAAGAATATTGCCCAAAGTATATGGAAAGCAGCACAAAAGGGTCTTCTCATACCTTGGAAAGAAAACACAACACAGATGTTATTCCCATGACAACATACTGAACCTAAGGTCCATGTTAAAAGACACAAACTGGGATCTATTTACTGAACAAGCTCTTGATAACACAATTGCCAACATAACACATTATCTTAATTTCTGTCTTGATGTTTGTTGTCCAAAAGAGACAATCTTCTTAAAATTCGATCGCTTCTCCTCTTCTCAACTCAAAAAGCTCCGCCGTGAAAAAGAAAGGTTGTTCAAAATGAAAAACAAATCTGGTGTTAAGAGAATGAACACTTTGATTAAGCTTGAATTACAAAGATTGAATGCTCTCTATAACCAGAAGTTTCTTTCATGTAAATCCCCATCAAATATGTGGAAGTTATTAAAGGAAATCACAGGTGGTAAGCAAATGTTGAATGATATTTCTGTAGATGTTAACATGCTTAATGAATCCTTCATATGTATCCCAGCAAATGTTATGATTCCTAACTCAAATAGTGTAAACAATGACTGCTTCTCATGCTTTAACACGAATGATGTCCTCAAGTGTCTTCAATCTCTCAAGCCTACTCAGTCCCTCGGTCCTGATGGTGTTCCTGCTGTTATCCTTAAGAAGTGTGCCGACATCTTGTGTTCCCCGCTAACTGACATTTTCAACGAATCGTTTTCCAAAAGTATTATACCTGAATCATGGAAAAACATCAAGATCGTTCCAGTGCCTAAATCAACAAGTGGACCTAATGTTAAGTTTAGACCCATTTCAATTACCTCACCCTTTTTGAAAGTTATGGAAAGACTTATTTTACTTAATCTTGATCCCTCTTTAAAACCTTTCAACGACCCCAACCAGTTTGCTTATAAACATAGTAGGAGTACGTTAGATGCCGCTGTTGTCCTCCACCATAGCATAGTCTCTAGTTTAGATAAAGGAGCTAAATACGTTCGCTGTGCCTTCCTTGATTACACATCTGCATTTGACTCTGTTCCCAGGTCTCTCTTGCTAAGTAAGCTTGCTGCAACACAGGCTGAAAGCTGGACAAATAAGTGGTTGCATTCCTATTTTTCTGAAAGGAAGCAGTACACCGTCTACAATGGAAAATCCTCCACTACCTCACTTACTTTAGCTGGTGTTCCTCAAGGTGCTGTTCTTTCTCCCTTTCTGTTTTCGTTTTTCTTACATGACTTGCCTCATTCTGATGTAGCCACTTTTGTTAAGTATGCCGATGACCTCTCGGTTTCTATGCCTGTCAACTCTCAGTCAGATTGTTCCAAATTAAATAGCTTTCTGTCGGAAATTAGTCAGTGGTCCTCTTCAAACGGACTTAAGCTTAATCCGTCTAAATGTCAGGTAGTCAATTTCACTTTCAGACGTAAATGTGACCTACAGCAACTAGTTAGCTCACATGGCCCCACTCTCATTGACGGCACAGAGGTTGAAAATACATCTAATGTCAAGTACCTTGGGCTGAGTTTTTCCACCGATCTTTCCTGGTCTTCCCACATCTTGCTAGTTACTAGAAAGATGTTTCGCTTAACGTTCTACATTAGGAAATTTAGGCAGTCTGGCATAAAGCAGTCTTTGCTTTCTCAGTTTGTAAATTCTTGTATTCTACCCATCCTCCTTTACTGCTCCCCATTAGTCTTTCCTGGACTACTTAAGAAAGACTTTGCTTCGCTGAGAAGGGCACTAAAAGCTGTTAGTAGGGCAAGTGGGATATCGTTAAACCAACTGGTTAACACTATTGTAGATAGACATAATATATCATGTAAGAAACTAGCGAATACAATGTTGTCAGACAGATCGCGTGCGTCGGTGGCACAGTGGTTAGGACTCTCGCCGACCATGCACATGGTCCGGGGTTCGAGCCCACGCCGGCGCACACCTGATATCTATGGTCGGCCTGCAAAATTTGGGCTACCGATATCCATGCTGAAAATTCCATACTTGTACCAAAAATACAGTGTGGAATCAAGCTGTAAATCAAAAAAAAAATCCTCTCTACACGCAGCTGTCTCCTTGCATTTCATCTGGTAGAACTAGAAGCAGCTATAGGCGGCTGGCTATATGCTAGGACCACCAAATACAAAACCTCCACAATACCATATCTGGCACAGCTGTTATGTGATGAGAAATCCGTTAGGTATGACACGATCAACTTACTGCGGAACTCTAACAAATAGTCCCATTAGCTTTTGTTTTCCTTTCCTCGTTACTATTACACTGTTGTTCTCATCTTCTACTACACATCAACTTTATATTTCATATCCTGTGGTGCATTGTTTGAAATGTAAACTCTACGCTGTTTTTTATTTTTATTTATTTTATTTATTAATTAATTAATTTTATTTTTATTTATTTATGTTTTGATTTAAAAATCTTATATAATTTATGAGGTATTAGAAGCAATATATTGTAATGCACGCTGAAAATTCCATAACTGTACCACAAATACCGTTTGGAATAAAGCTGTTATTATTATTATTATTAATAAATAGTTCGAATGCCTAACACCTCAACTGAGTGCAGTAGACGAGATATTTAGAAGACGAAAAGGAAAGACTGAGCAGTAAAGAATACTCTTTCCGATAACTACTCCGTCATCTGCACTTACAATTATATATTAGTCCCTCGAGTGGGTGAGTACTGCCGATGATTTCCAAACTAGGCTGATGAAATAGCTGGTTGTCCAGTACTCCCCCCAGTTGGTTTTCCAATGGTTCTCTAACTGATGTCTATCCATGGTCAAACTCGTCTGAAAAAATCTAATCCTTACAAACCAACCGCTGAAAATTAATCTGATGCTTACTAGTGATTGGCTACTGGATGGAGTTTTCTGAGTGAATTCTGGTGAGAAGTTGTGACTAAAGTCGTCCATCCAGGCAGGAGTGAGGATGAAGTTCCTGACGACGATATTGCTTGGTGGTCATGCTGAATGCATCACAAATTGGTAGAAGTTGGAATTCACGGGCTGGCCACTGAGGAGTCGGGTCCCAGTGTCTAAATGGTTGGTATACGAGCATTTAAGCAGTTATAGTTAGTGACAACATTTTTATTATTATTGCCCCCTTGGGTTCCTAGTGGAACATAGGGCTTCAACTGCACGTCTCCATTTGCTTCTGTCTTCTGCTATACTTTTCGCCTGCATCCATGTTAATCCATCTTCTTTCAACTCCTCTTCACACGATCTCCTCCATGTCACCCTTGGACGTCCCACACGCCGCTTCCCTTTCGGGTTCCACTCGGGGGCCTGATGAGCGATGTCACCAGCGGTCTCCTCAGTGAGTGTCCGATCCATCTCCACTTTCTCCTGCATATTTGTTGGTTGGCGATTGGTTCTTGGTTTGTTTGTTCCCATAATTCCTTGTTGGGGATTCTTTCCGGCCAGAATCACCAACATTAATTAACATTTACTCAAATTATATCGAGTGAAATTAAATTCCCAAAAGTATCCGTCTGCTTCAGCTGTCATGTATAAAAGACAAACTTGTCAGTTGAAATTGACAGTAGTCAGTCTTGTTAAAATCGATTTTGTATTCCAGTATCTATCTAAAATTTAAGGCCAAAACAGAGTTGAGAATAGAACTTGCTCCGTGGAAGCAATCAAACTGATAGATATTCATAAGTTAGTTTATCCGTAACTCCCAAAAGTAAAATAGGAGTGATTGTGATCCGTACAGTGATTGTATTATATACTATCTTAACCCTTTCTGATTTCCAAAGTTGGCTTGTAAGGATTAGATTTGTTTTTTACGAGTTTGACCACGGAGTGATATCAGTTAGAGAACCATCGGAAACCAACTTGGGGGTGGGTGGGGAGTACTGGACAGCAGGCTGTTTCATACTAGTTTGGGAATCGTCGGCAGTATGCACCCACCACAGTGAGGTTCGAACCCAAGGCAAGCTAGCTAGCTCGTATGCCATTCAGATACCATTCAGACCCGATTCAATGACCAGCGAGTCATTCGTGTGCATTTTGCGCGACCACCGACCAACGTCATCGGCAGGAACTCCATCCTCACATACTCGACTGCATGGACCTCACTGGTCACGATTTAATGACACTTTACCTACCCATCCACATACATACAAACAGATATACACTAATAGATAAACATTCTGTAGGAGTGAATAGGCTTGACTCTGCATAAAAAATTGATAAAAAGGTGGACTTTTTTGGGAGGGGGGCGAGCAGATTTTCATCAGACGAACAGACATCTGTCATTATTATTATTATTATAACTATCATTATTTCTCAGACAACTGGACTTCGTCATCATTGATGTCATCTAGATTCCTATGACGTCAACAATAATCATCATCATCATTGGTGGATGGTGGCTAGCAGTGGAATCGAAGCATCTGCACAAGAAGCCAACGGAAATGTCAACCTGAGACCGAGCACTTCGGTTCAATCAATCAATCGACGGGAAAATCAAAAAATCAATTCAATAATCATCACCGTTCCCATTTACCTTGATCGTTGAAAGAAGAAAGGCAGACGCGCGCATACACACACATACTCACAGACGCACACAAAAGAGGATCATGTCTAACACACACACACACACATTTTCCAGGTATTCACATCGGATACATCTATATATAGATAAATCTCCACGGGATAATGATTACATAATGAAGAGACAAGAACATCAGGTAGACTTATTATTCAAATAATGATTGTAACAGCTGTGATTCAGGAGACTGTTGACATAAACATACACATACATACATACATCCACACAAAGACAGACATGATGATGCCTTTGATTTCAGACAATATACATATAATTTTTAAAAAATCACAGTAATAATGATAATAACATGAATTTAAAATTCAAATTTTCAAAATATAGTAATCAATTATCATTTTTTATTTTCAAAAAAGGCAAAATCAATAATGAATTAGTGAAGATAAATTAGGATTGTTAAGTATTGGTTTTTGTAGGGATTTCTTTGATTTGTTTGATTGGTTCCAGGATTTCATCATCATGAAGTGAAATCGGTTAGAGAACTACCGGAAAATGCACAGGTGGAGTACTGGACAGCCAGCTGTTTCGTCCGCCAAGTTTGGGACTATCCAGCAATAGGTATCCCCTACAGAGGACTCGAACCCAGGACATTCTGGTGACAAGACGAACTCGCAGAAAGTAGAATCCATGGGCTGGCAAATGGATCAGGTCCCAGTGGCTTAATGGTCTACGAACTAGCTCTCGTTGTTAACAGAAGGTGCTGGATTTGAACCCTGGCCGTAGATGTGTACTGATGAAGAGTGCCAAACTAAAGTGAACCAGATATTCAAAACTCCCTACAAATTTTCCAATGGTTCTCTAACTGATATCAGCTCATGACGAAGAAATCTTCAAACCAATCAAATTAGGATTGATTGTATCATTCGCTAATTGATGATTTATTTGACTGACTGAACTAAAACTAGACTAATACTAGTTAGTTTGATGGAGGTATCAACAGACGTGAATTTCATCCTGTTGTTCTGGGGAGTTGATTCTCCAGGCAAATGCAGTTAAATCTTCATAAAGGGGTATTATAACTATTGTTATAATGGTTTCCGAGAGAAACATGGGGCTGCAGTAGCCCACTTCCAGCTTGTCAAGTTCTCTACAGTCAGCTTTAACTGATCTGACAATTGCCTATAAGGT